GATTCATAGTATGGAAAGTTGTGGGATTATGCCCAACAACTGAGGGATACAAATCCTGGTTCAACTGTGATTTTAGATGTTGAAGAAGGTGATGGTGTTCCTAGGTTCTCCAAATTCTATGTTTGCTTTGCTGCCCTGAAGGAAGGTTTTAGGAGTGGTCTTAGGCCAATAATAGGGGTTGATGGCTGTCATTTGTCTGGACCCCACAAGGGTATACTTCTTACTGTTGTAGGTGTTGATCCTAACAACAACATATATCCCTTAGCTTATGCTGTGGTTGGTATAGAAGCTAGGCATACTTGGGAGTGGTTTCTGATTGCACTGAAGCATGATCTTGGCATTGTGCAGGACAATGATTGTACTTTCATTAGTGATAAACAGAAAGGGTTGATTGTGGCTTTTCAGAATGTTTTTCTTGGCTCAACACATAGATTCTGTGTTAGACATCTGCACAATAACTTTAAAAATGCTGGTTTCAGAGGGGCTTCATTTAAAAATGCATTGTGGGTTGCTGCACAGGCAGCTACTGTGGGTGAGTTCCATTTTAGAATGAGACAAATGAGAGAAAAATCTCCAGAAGCTGCAGACTGGTTCAATGACAAGAACCCTGCACATTGGTCAAAATCACACTTTGAGGAAAAACCCAAGTGTGACATCTTGTTGAATAACTTGTGTGAGAGTTTTAATGCATGCATTGTTGATGCTAGAGAGGAACCCATAGTGACTATGCTTGAATGGATCAGAATGTACTTAGTGAAAAGGCTTCAAAGAAACAGGGATAGGGCAGAGTTGAGATGGAAAAGCAATGTGTGTCCAAAGATCATTAAGACAGTAGAGGCTAATATGGAAAGGTTAGGTGACTGCATGCCTATGAAAAGTGACAACACTCACTATCAAGTAGAGTGTTATGGTGGAGGTCAGTATGTGGTAGACTTGGAAAAAAAAACTTGCACATGTAAGTTGTGGGACTTGAGTGGGATACCATGCAAGCATGCATGTAGTGCAATTGTATCACAGAAGGGCAATGCAGTTGATTATGTGCATGAGTACTACACTGTGGAAACTTATAAAAGAGTCTACAAACCAGCCATCCTAGGTATTAACTGTCAGATGTTGTGGAACCAAACCCATTTCATTCCACCTTTGCCTCCCACATTTGGGAGAGGTGCAGGTAGGCCTAAGAAATCAAGAAAGATTGATCCTGATGAGAAAGGAGAGAAAAGACAGAAAATGAAGTCAAAGATTCAAATGAAGATGAAGAGGCAGCAGACAAGTTTGAAATGTGGAAAATGTGGCACTGTGGGTCACAATGCCAGATCTTGTGGCAAGGAAAAAGTTTCTGATGCCAAGAAGAAGGACTGTCAGAGCCCACTAGCCAAAGCAAGAAAGGAAATTGTAAGCAAAATTACAGCTTTTATGTATAATATGTCTTAATTTTCAGTTTTGTTATTTAAAAGATGTGTTTTTACTTATTTATTTATTTATGTTTCCATACTTTTGCAGTTGAAAATTAAGAGGGCTAATGCTGCAAGACAGGCCAAAGAAGCTAAAGCTGCTGCAAAAGAGTCCAAACAAAAAGAAAGGGAATCAAAGAATCAGAAACAAGGTTTAAGCAATGATAAGCAGGTGGTACTTTATTCATTTGTCTTTTTAATCCATTTAATTACATTATTAACAACTGTTTCTGATGAACAACTTGTTGTTTCTTGAACATAAACAAGCCTCCACCTCCACCATAGAGAAACATGTATTACTTACTTTGTCAATTTTCCTTGTAATTCATTTATGTTATGTTCAGTGTAAGAAAATGGTGTTATGACTGTGTTTTTTCTTCAACAGAAAGAAGGGCCAAGCATGGAACCACCTGCTCCATTTGTAGAAGAAACTGACTGGGATGATGAGGGCTTTGTGTCACAATTGACACAAGAGTTTTGTGCAACTCCACAGCCTGAGATGACAAAGGGACCCACACCCCTTGAACAACTGAAAAAGGGATTAGGAGATGATTCATACTTTAGAGGTAAGCAGTTGGAGGCCATCACTACAAGAGATGGAACTCCAGCAATGTTTGAAAGGATACAAAAAGACTTATCTTTGGGTAGCTCATCTCAGAACTTGAAGCAGATCAAAAAGGAGAAGGGACAAAATTATAGAAAGAAGTGAATTTTAGTTAATTTGGTGGTTGTAAAACACTTGCAGGATATTGTTTATTTTGTTGGGAAACTCAATGGCAGGATATTGTTAGAATGTTTTTGGATATTGTTAATTTTGTTGGGAAACTGATTGGCAGTATATTGCAATGTCATTTATGTTATGATTGGTGGTTGTAAACACTTGTGTTGTGCTCTTTTTTGGTTTAGTTAATGAAAGATATAAGTTTTGATGGTTATGAGGAGTTCAATTATAATGGTTATTTGTGTTGAGTTGTAAATGACAGGATATTGAATTTGTTTGTGTTCAGTTATGAGCAATTGAGTTTTGTTGTGCTCTTTGTTTGAGGTTTGTATTGAGTTGTGAAGTTGAGTTTTTTTTTTTTT